TGAGATTTAGCCACAAAAGTTGACTCTGTCCTGTTTTTGGACCGTGATATCTCTTCCCAAGTAAGATGAGTACAGGCTTGTTTGTTTAGGGGGTTTGGTATTTGGTTTTGTTGTGTGGTGTTAGGTTTATTTAGTTTTTTTAAACACAGTACTTCTGACTAATGGGGAAATTTCCAAAGAGTGCTGAAGCATCCTACTTTGGGTTTCCCCCTCAAAAGGGAAATCCACTGTGCCTTCATCTGAGGGCTAAGAGGAGCTTCAAAATGGAAAATCTCATTTCAAGGAGGTGCTCTGAGTGAGAGAATGGAGAGGAAACCACCAATGCTCCCTCCTGACCCTGGAAGTCTGGAATAACTAGTAATTATAGCAGTACTGAAAGGGACAGAGATGGGTTATTTCAGTGAAGGAAGACAGGCAAGGGAGAGAAGTAACGGTCTAGCATCACGGTGAAGAAGGTTTCTTATAGCTGGGGGTTGGGTTAAGCATGAGAACCAGAAAAAGTTGAGACTGTGAAGAGCGACCAGGTAAGAGAGAGCAGATTGACTCAGCTCATGGGTGAGGAAGAGGGGCAGGTACTACACATTATGCCAGAAAAATCCCCAAAAGCCATTTGTGTCCCACCTTGTGAGTGTCCCTGCACCACCCCTCTGTGAGCTGGGACCTCGGGAGCTGGAGGGAAGCAGATACCAGCTGTTGTCACAACACTCTCAGGTGGTTCCCTGCAAGGCAGTGCTTCTCAAAAAGGCATTGCCTTGTCTCCTCTGCCTGCTCTGTCTGGAGGAGAAGGGGCAAAGGGAGCAGCTGGAGAGTTCTTTGGTCCTAAAAGTTTGAGCGGATTCACAAGAAAAGAGCAGGAGGAGGAGTTCAGGGATGCAAATACCTACAGCACTATGTCAGTGCAGGTCTGTGTCGGATCTCTGTTCTCTCTAGTCAGCGAGGTGCCCCCTCCCTCATCGGAGGAGCAATGCAGCTGGATGGTGGAGGCCTGCCTGAGCTGGTGCTGAAGCCTGCTCAAGGGAAGGGGAAGCAGGAGGCTTAACAAGAAGGCTCTGTACAGGATGCTGATTTGGGCCAGGGGTGTTAAGGATTGAAGAGAGGCTGGGAGAAAGGACTGTTGCATCGCTTTAACCTATGCTGTCTCATGCAACGAAATGCTGGTGCCCTCAAACACTCATTGAAATGGGAGAGAAGGTGCTTGATGCTTTGCTGAGGAGTTTAAAGCCAGTGGGACTGAGGGCTGTAGGGAACGCTGGTTAAGGGCTTGACTTGGAGGAGGGGCACACAGTCTCTGGCGAGCAATGGCAGAGCATGTCACGGGTGAAGAGTTTCTGAATGGCATCTGGGTGCTTCGGCTCTGTGACGGGGAGCAAAGGGGACAGCAGCCTGTGCAGTACCTTCTGTCCTCAGCTCCTGTACCTCCCCACGCTATGAACTGTACTGGTGGTGTGCTGCTGCAGGGACAGCTGGGTGGGCTCGCCAACCCCACAGTGGGCACTCACCTGCCATGAGGGTAGAGACAATGAACTTGAGAAGACGTAAAGCTGTGACATTTACTCATGGCACAAAGCAATGTACAGCTCTGTTGTGTCAGTTATACCGAGCTCAGAGTTGTTCCTTATCTGACGACTCCAGATAACTTTTATAACCTAGTTACGGTCAGCAGGAGCAAACCAAGTGCCAGGCAGGGCAAGAATCGATGCTCTGGTTCAACCCGTACCACAGTCCTCAGCGGTTATAAGGCTATTCGAGCAATCTGTGAGGCAGCAGACTGGAATCAGCCAAACCCCAAAGCTGTCACACCCCAGGAGCCTGACTGGCTGCCAAAACAATGTGGCTTTGAAGCGGCCCCGTGAAGTGCTTCCAGTACCTTCAACAGCCATTTGGTTTCGGGCTTGGAGAGAGATGCCAGTAACCTCTGCCGGGAAGAATTCTCCGTGGCGAGTAAGGCTCAGCTCAGTAGCACACAGTGGACGCTGCCTGGTGCACTCTGCCAGGCAGAGCGCTGGGCAGTGTGCCCTTCCCTCCTGTGCTCTCTGGTCTTAGGGGCTTGTCGCTCTCCCCAGCCACCCCGGGCTCAGATTTCGTGAGAGGCAAACAGCTCATGTGCTAATTACGGCTGCTGAAACGGGGCCAGCCACCCTGATCTTTCATGTGACTCATGAATAGACTTTGTTTCCCCTTCTGCAGGCTTTAGTAAAAGGCTGAAGTTCAGGGTATCAGAGAAAACTCCAACATGTCTTGCTAGGCTTGGACAGTCCCTTATTGCTTGGGAGCAAGCAAGGAGGATTAAAAGGGCATTAGGTCCATCTCTCCCAAGGGCAGCTAGGCCAGGCCTGAATTGGTACTGGGTAAATTCAAGCGCTTTGTCCTTGGAAATGCCTCATGGTCACGTTCCTGTTTTCCATATGCCCCAATACTGCTCTTCCAGCTTTGTATTTTTTCAGCCTGCGTTGCATTTGTGGCAGGTTTGCTGCTTTCCTGCAGCTCTTTGTTGAGCAGCGTGTGAACAGGGGTGACGGTAGCAGGATGACCACAGCATTGTGGCATGACAGTGGAATGGCAGATGTCACTTCTGAGGAAGCCCCGTTTTCCCGTGAGTGGCCAGCCAGGTGAAGGAGCACGTACGGTTTGTTTGCTTTCCTGTCTGAAAAGCAAACCTGCTGCAGGCAGGACAGCTGTGTTTGGAGGCAAAGGGGTGGTGGTGGGGAGCAAGGTTACAGAGTGCCACCTTGCTTAGGGAAGTGAGGGAAGGGTGTAGACTCAGATTATGTTTGTGTACAGTGAAAATGAGGATGAGGAGGGTTGGGGAGACTTGAACAGCAGGGACTTGATGGTTAAAGGCAGTTTTAATTTCATCCTTCGTTTCTTCTGTAGCTCAGAGCTTCCCAGCAGGCTCAGCCCTGTTCCTGAGTTGAGAGTTTTTTTTCCTTCCATGTCCAGTGGTTTTCTTCAGGGATGAGAAGACTGAATGTGGACTTCCTTTCCGTAGAGCAACCCCTGTGCGATTGATTTGTGTGCTTCATTGCCAGAGGCAGCAAACAGCACAGAGAAACTTCAGGCTAGGCTGGGGTTCAGTGAGGTGTGTCATGAGCAGGGGATGCTGGAGGAAAGCGCAAGTGAAGGGTGGCTTTGCGACCCCATGTGCCAAATCCATCAGCCCGACCTGAGCTACGATCTGCCTGCTGGCCAGTCTGGCCCTGTGGTGTCCCAGACCAAGAGGGAACCTGGAACTCTGCTACTGTACCAAGTCCTGATGCCAAAGGAGTCCTGGCAGAAAATTTTTCCCCCAGGTACTACCACAGCTTCACCCATTCATTGGTATATGCCCTGGTGCACCAGACATTCTCCACCGCATCACCCACTGCGATGCTGCCTCCTGTGCCTCACTGGGGATGCTTAGAGCTGCAGGAGACCAGGATTCCTATACAAAATTAATTTTCAAAGTGACAAAAGTTCACCTGAATCAAGGAGTCTTCAGGCTGTTATAGTAGTAGCCCGACCTTCAAGAACGTGGAAGAGCATCAAGAACGTTCCGCCACGCTCCTTCCCTTGTTTACCCTCTTCCACCTGGCTGTGGCCACAGTGCAATCAGGCTAATCCCGGTGTAATCAACTCTGCAGTCAACAGAAAAGGTGGTGGCTGGATTGCGATAAGATGCGGATAGGTAGCTTCGCGCGGTGGTGTGTAATCTGTGGGAGGGACACGTGCGTAAGAGGCTGCATTGCACAGTGCTGTGAATAGCTCTCTGCCTGACCCTTAAAAACAGGGCATCCCAAAACACGATGGATGTGCTTACCCAGGCAGGAATGTAAAAATCTTCTTTTTTGTGTGTTATGGCCCTATCCCATTACTCCGTTTCATTTCGTTCCACAGAGGGATCATTAGCTGCTGGCTCAAAAGCAGAAAAAGGCAGCTCTGCAGAGGAAGGGCCTCTCCAAAGGGGTAGAGGACCCACAGCAGCAAGGGCCAGCCCTGGATTTTGCAGGGACAGCAGTTTTGAAAATGCAGGCACTTCTCTAAGTACCTCATTGGGTCTGAGCTCTCCTGAAGAGTGCCTGGTAGATGCTAAACCGGTCTGGCTAGTTTTAATTCTCCCCCAGCGCTAAGTCAGGCATTTTATAGGATGGGAAAGCTGGGAAGGATGGTTCTTCTCCTTGCTGTCTGCTGTGTCTCCATGTTTCCTCATGGTCTGGAGAGTGCCTGGGTCCTGCCTGCCCCGATGGCGGTTCTCTTTCCCCTGGCCGCTGGTGGTGTCCCTGAAGGCATCAGTCCCTTGACGCGGCTAGGACCGAGACATGGCTGATTATAGGGTGGAGTCACTGGTGCTCTCAGTAATAGCTGCTCATTTCCCAAATCTCTGCCTTGAATAACATCAAGGCTGAATGAGGAATGCCTAATTACAGGGGGGACAATCAAAGCTGAAAGAATATTGCTTTGACTTCAGCCTGCAGTCCACTTTCTGTCCATACTCCCCAGAGGCCAGAAGTTCAGGGGAGAGATGTGTATGTTAGCCCTGCTTTGGCTGTTTACGTTTGCTTGGTTGGTTTTGTAGGGCACGTGTAAAAGGAAGGGGCTTGATTCTTTTATCTCCTTAATTCGGTGCAAGCCAAGAGTGGTGCCACTGACATTAGATACAGGTCAGTGTGAACAGACCAAACTCACGGTGTCTGGCCCTCCAGCAACAAGGCAAATAAGCCCCCATTTCCCCAGCTGTGGGGCTGAAGTCATGCTGAGGGCCTTGCCTCGGTGTACAGGACACCAGCGGTGACATGTTCGGGTGCTGATGGCCTGGGCAAGGCCAAGGAACCGCCAGCCAGCCATGCGTTCTGCGGGGGTGACACCTAGTGGGGAGCACCTGGGGGCCTGGATTCACAGCCCCATCTGCCCCCTCCTGAGTTGGGAAGGCCAGGGAGAAGGTGGCTGGGCTCTGGGGCATCCTGACAGATGAACTGCAGCCCATAGGAGTGCCAGGGCCGCTCTTAGCCTTGCCATGTCTTGGTTTCTGTCTTCCAGAGAGAGCTACTGATGGGTCCCTGCGGAGCGAAGACTGGGCTCTCAACATGGAGATCTGCGACATCATCAACGAGACCGAAGAAGGGTAAGGGAGCTGATGCACATCCAGAGGCAGGTCCCAGCACACCCTGTAACACTGCATCCCTAGACTGCAGTGGTAGCATGTAGTGGTGGAGGTAATAAGCTAGGCTTCCCAACAGTCCTTTAGATGAGACCCTGCTAGGAAACCTAGAGACACAGCAGAGCTGTCAGAGCATCTGTTAGATGCTTCCCCGTAATCTTGGTGAGAGCTGGGAGCCATTCAAACAGTCCTTCAGGGTCCCCAGAGAAACCTTGATTCAAGCCAGGCTGCCTCCTGTCTCCCAAAGGCGTATTTGCAATTCTCCCCCTTCAGTTTATTCCTCCGTCATACCCCTCTCTTTCTCTCCTGTGGGAATGTAAAAATCTGCAGGCTGGTGACTGAGGACACGGGACAATCTCAGGCTGCTTTTCAGTCCTCTGACTGTGCAAGTCCTGCTGGGGTTTGCTTCTGAGGTGTTTTCATGTACAGTCACGCAGACATGTGCAGAGTGGGTGAGGGAGCCCTTGTCTCCCTCTCCCCGCAGGGAGATAGGCAGAAATCCAGACTTGTTAACTCTGGACCTGGGGACTTGCCAGTGAATTCAAGGGGGACTGCTCCTTCTCACAGCGGAGATGTCAAGAGCAGCATGTGAAGAAGAAGGTGCTACATGGAATAAAAAAATGTAGGTTTTGATCCTGCTGTCCTACCCCACAGTGTTGCTGACAGAGGATTAGCAAACCCAGTTTTCAGCTTCACAGTTGTATGAAAACAAAGTCAAACATCTCTACTCACAGATCTGTCACCACTTCTTTTCCATGCTATCCCCACGGTGCAAACACGCCTGTCTCTGCCCACGGTTCCCAGTCCTGAGCTGTGGCCACTTGGTGTGTCAGTTCTGGGTGGCTGTTAACACAGCTCTGCCCTCCTGCCATGGTGGGCTCTCCCGTCACCCTGCTAATGCCCATCCATTGCAGCCATGCTGCCCCATGGCTCAGTACACTCCTGCCCTCCTCACTGCCTCTGGGTCTCCACCCCTCTCTTTTCCTCCAGCACAGCTGCTTTTCCAGCCCAGCCTCTCCTCCTGTGCTCTGCCAGAGCGTGTTTGTTCATTTATGCCCTCTCACGAGACCGCAGTGTGCTGAGACTGAAGTGCTTCTCCCCTCTGAGAATGGCTAATGAGACCCTACTATGCTGCTGCTCTCTGGGCCACCTGCAGTACAGGCAAGGTTTTGCCTCTCCGTCTCCCCTGCTGCTTCTCAGCCTCTTTTCCTCCAGGGAAATGTTGTTAAATGGCTTCACTCTGAGCAACACAAGAATTGCTGCAGCTCACTCTCACCTTGTTTCTAACCCTTGCCAAACTTTTTTGTGATGTCCTCCTCTTCAGTCTTTCTTCCATGGGGTTTTGCTCTACCCCCAAGTAGCGCATTTCTAGCATTGCTTTTACTCTGCACACTGGTACACCTTGAGCTGCTGCCGACATCAGCACAGGTGCCTCCAGTTTTAGTAACAGCGCTCGTTAGCCAACCCCGCTCCTCTTGCAGAACCACAGGCAGAAGCTGCTTTACCAGTCACTGCTTCAAGCTGCCCTAAAAACATGGTGGGGGAAGGTCACCTGCTGAGTTTGAGGCATCCAGAGCCAGTGGCTGTTTTGCTTTGCCTCCCTGTAGGTGAGCCTCAACCCACTGATGATCTTTCTTTGTCTGATTTCTCCTGCAGGCCCAAAGATGCCTTCCGAGCCATTAAGAAGAGAATTGTAGGGAATAAGAACTTCCATGAAGTTATGCTGGCTTTGACGGTGAGTGACCAGGGCTCTTTCTCAGCCCTGAGATACCCTGCTGAGTCCCTAGCTGAAAAGTCATGGGTGTCTAAAGCCAACAAGGTGAACACGCATAGGCCAAGAAGGCTATAGCTAACACTCCATTGCCTTTGAAGGTGCTGGAGACGTGCGTCAAAAACTGTGGCCATCGCTTCCATGTCCTCGTGTCCAGCCAGGACTTTGTGGAAGGTGTCCTGGTGAGAACAATCCTGCCGAAGAACAATCCTCCTGCCATAGTGCACGACAAGGTGCTGACCCTCATCCAGGTGAGCCAAGAAGCGTGAGCTGCTGCACCAGTTCAGAGAGTGTTTGTCTTTAGGTGTTTGTACAGAAGACTACTGTCGGTGATGGTGAGCTGTACTGTCTCCTTCTCCCCAGTCCTGGGCGGATGCCTTCCGCAGCTCACCGGACTTGACTGGTGTTGTTGCTGTCTATGAAGACCTGAGGCGGAAGGGCCTGGAGTTCCCCATGACTGACCTGGACATGCTGTCACCCATCCACACACCACAGAGGGTATGGAAGCATTGCTGAAGAGAAGGGTGTTGGGCAGCTGCCATTCTGGAGCTATGAGGGTGCTTCAGGAATGCTAGCTTGTATTTAGAGGGCTTTTGGGGAGTGAGAAGCTTCAGGACAGCCTGTTTGCTGGAAGAGCTGTTGAAAGCAGATGGGGAGTTGTCATCGACATTTCTCTCCTAATTGTGCTGCCCTGTGAGCTGTGAATGTCTAACATCTCCTTCTCTCTGTCCCTTTTCCCACTCTGTCTGCAGACTGTGTATAGCTCCAACCCCCAGTCTGGACAGAACTCACCTGCGGTCAACTCCCCTCAGCAGATAGAGTCCATCCTCCACCCTGTCACTCTGCCCACTGGGAGAGGCACATCCAGTGACGCGCCCATCACCCCCACAGCAGAGCAGGTGAGTTGGACATGAGCCCCGTGGTGCTCCTGACTTGCCCTGCATTTGGGGGCTGTTTCACAAACACTGCTCTGGGGCTGCTCTCCTGGTCCTCACCCAGCCTCTGTCCTCAAGGAGCCGTTCCCCTGAAGCACAGTCCCTCAAGAGCTCCCTAGAGCTCCACTGCGGTCATAGTGATGAGCTGGGATACCACAAACACGGAGTGGTTATGTTTGCCTAAGACAGGGCTGTTTGCAGGTAGGGGGAAGATCTCCTGGCTGTAGGGGAGCGAGGAGCTGAGACACAGAGGTTTTGAGTGAGTAGTGCACTTGGTAGTGCAGTAGAGAAAAAGCTTGCTCAGTAGATAACCTCCTTATCATCTTTGTTTATCTTGCCTCAGTGCTGGCTCTGTATGAATCAAGCCTGTCTAGCTATGTGGTTTCCAAAGGCCGGGTCTTTCTCACTTGTTTCTCCATCCTCTTTTCTCCTTCCTCACCCTGACGCCATATGACACCGTGCTCAGCACCAAACCTCAGCTGTCGATAGGCTGCATCCCCTCACAGGGCAGCGGGTAGAAACTGTTCTCAAGAGGCTCATTAGCAGCTTGTGAAACCGGAGGGAGAAAGCTTCAACTGCACATTTAGCCAAGGCTTGCCTTTTGAATGGGAATTCATTTTTCCCCCTCCTACACTGCTTTGGAAATGAAATTATTTGAGTGGCTGCCATGCAGGAGCTGCTAGCTGGGGAGAGATTAGGATTGTAACAGCAGCCTGTACTGGCTACTGAAAATCAAGGCTAGGCTAGTGGCCAAAGTTCCCAGGTGAGGGCCTGGTATCTGTTGCCAGCAAATGAGCTTGATGGTAAGTAATGGAGCTTGCTTCTGCTGGGAGCTCCCAAGAGCTAAACTGAGAGGTGACAAATGAGCTCCGCAGTGGCGTTCCCTTCAGCAACGTGGATGTGCGCACACGTGCAGTGTGCTGCCGTTCAGAGCTACCTCACCTGTCTCCTCAGTCTTCCCAGGCGGAGCTGTCACTTCCCCTCCCTTTTGCAGATCGGGAAGCTGCGCAGTGAGCTGGAAGTGGTGAATGGGAACATGAAGGTCATGTCGGAGATGTTGACGGAGCTGGTCCCATCGCAGGCTGAGCCTTCCGACCTGGAGCTGCTACAAGTAAGGAGCACTGGCAGGGCAGAGGGCTGGCACACGCAGCTCCATCTAGCAGTAACTTGATGTGCTGAGGCATGATGGGCGTGGGGAACAGTTGGACAGTTTTGTGTGGGGCTTATCAGGGAATGATGGGATAAGGGAGACGCAGGGAAGGTGGTGTTTCAACGGCCAAAGGAAGTTGCGCTGTTGAGACTGGAATCATTTCACATGGGGATTTATAGTCATAGAATCATAGAATCATAGAATGGTTAGAGTTGGAAGGGACCTTAAAGATCATCTAGTTCCAACCCCCCTGCCATGGGCAGGGACACCTTCCACTAGAGCAGGTTGCTCAAAGCCACATCCAGTCTGGCCTTGAAGACATCCAGGGATGGGGCATCCACAACATCTCTGGGCAACCTGTTCCAGTGCCTCACTACCCTCTCTGTGAAGAATTTCTTCCTGACATCTAATCTAAACCTCCCTGAGGTTTAACCTAGTCCCCGAGGGCCTTTCTTTCTGGATGACGTGTTACACAAGAGGCACACAGTTACTGTCTGTAAAGCTCAGGCTCAGCTTACTTCTCACACCAGTATCTGTTGCCCATGAACACTTGCTGGTAAAACCCAGTAGCCTCTGGGGCCTGTGTGTCCCACTCAGACTTCCAAATCTGTGAGTGCTCAGCCTTAGCTTGACCTTTGTGGTAACTTCCTCTTGCTGTGAGCAGGAGCTGAATCGGACATGCAGAGCCATGCAGCAGCGTGTGCTGGAGCTGATTCCCCGTGTTCTCCATGAGCAGCTCACCGAGGAGCTGCTCCTCATCAATGACAACCTCAACAATGTGTTTCTGCGCCATGAAAGGTACCTCCCTTCTCTGCCCTGCTCTTCCACCGGAGTTTACTGCCCCTTGAAGTCTTTTCTATCCCACCCTTTCGATCTGCCCATGCTTATAACACTCAAGATGTATCAGCCTGTATCATCCATCTTTGAGAACAAGTGAGTTCTCAGGTTTTGCTGATTTATTTCTGTCCCTTCAAAACTGCTGTGTGAGTTACTGTCGGAACATAAAGATGTCCCTGTGGCATAACCCAGAGGAAGGAGGGAACTGCAAGGAAAGAGCTGGTTTTCTAGTTCTGAGGTAGATGGGGACAGAAAGGACTTGCCCAGGTGGGATCAGCACCCTTTTCTTCTTTCTTCCATTTCACCATAGCCATCTCTTAAGCTAGGATAAAGTCTGGAGAATTTAGACCCCATGTCTGGACAGAGAGCTGGGTTTGAACTGTTTTGGTTAGAAGAAGCTTTGGAGGATCACAAGAAGCTTCCTCGCCCCACCTCTCAGGAGAACTCTGTGGGCCTTGCTGCGGTGTCTTCGGCCTTGAGGGGGAATTGGGCCCTGAGCCATGGTCCCCCTTTTGTAGTATGCAGGAAGGGGCAGACTGTGGTAAGCCTTACGGGAAATCTCTTGGGCTGTGAGTGAATAAGCACATGCTGCTGAAATGCATCCTGTCATCTTTCCTGCAGGTTCGAGCGCCTTCGGACAGGACAGTCTGTTAAGGTAACTCAGAGCAATTGCCCCTCTGTGCAGCTCAGCTTGCATCCCTCAGGCCTGGCAGCATCCTGTGGAATTGGAGAGAGGTTTAGTCCACCCCACTTACAGGCTGTAGACTTTGCTCTCCCAGCCCAGCTGCACCAGGCCAGGCTGGTGTGCAGGACACTCCAGTTCCCCCTGCTATCCTCTCCCTCCCCGCTAGTGGGAGCCTTCCCGTCACCCAAAGAGCGAGAGCAGACCAGCATGAGCCGCGCTTTGTCCTCCGAGCACTGCCCTGTCCTCGGAACCAGCACCTCCCCTACCTGCTGACAGCCGGCAGAGCTGGGGGGCCTGGTACAAGGCGTATTCTGCCCTCTGACCCCTCCCAGCCAGTTCTTGGATCACTGTCCCACTCTCACAGGGAGAAACTACACAGCTGATACCTTTTGATGGGTATAGAAGGGCTTTCCTCTCCACTGTTATGAGCTAGGATTGCAGTGTCAGGTTATCTAAACTTCAGAAACTCTCTACCATCTTCCTGTTTTTCTCCAAAGGCCCCAAATGAGACAGAGAACAGCTTGATTGACCTGGGACCCAGCACTCCTTCTGCAGTGAAACAGCCTGAAGTCACCAACAGCCTTTCCTCTCAGCTGGCTGGAATGAGTATGTTGCCATGCAGTTTTCCTCTCAGTCCTTCTGTGCTGCGCTGGGAATCCTTTCATGCCCGTGAATCACCTCCCAGAACTGTTTAGTCATGTTCCTAAAGTAACCTGGAGAAATGGGGTGCACTGTCAAACAATAAACTCATGAAGAAACTTGTGTATGCCCCAAGGCACACGAGCATCCACACCTCACGTTGTGTGGAGCTGGACGTGACTGAAGAAGGACCTCAGCATTAGGCTGAGGACTGGGCCTTCCAGCAGGGTAGGGGAGAAAGGTGCTCCCTCTCCAGTGCCAGCAGCAGTGCAGTTGCTCTCTGGCTGTGTGGAGACAGGCTGACCACTGAGATCTGGGAGAGGAAAAGCAGCTGAGCTGTGCTGCAAAGGCAGCCGTGAGCATCTTGGGCTCAGGACCTGGGATTTGACAGATTGTTTACTCAAAAAGCCTGAGAGGTCCTGAAGGTTTTTCAAGATGTACCAACAGCCTACATAGCACTGCCTGAAGCTCTTGCTGGCTGTGAGCGTATTCACTACAGCTTGGATGCAGCTACAGAAAATTGGCCAGACTGTTTTTACAGACAAGCCAGTTGAGATATTATTCAAGTCAGGGTTTTTCAGATGATGCCTGAGTCATGAAAATTCACTCATCTGCCTCCAAGGTTCTTGCCCAAAAGCAAAGGTTATCCTCTTCCACAGGTTATGGAGCAATTCCCTCTGAGCTGTCATAAATGGTCAGGAACATCTAGCCTTCAGCATCAGTGCAGTAAATGGATGCTGATGTTGCTGCCTGAGAGTGAGGTAAAAATAGTTGCTGAGCAGGTGAAGAAACTGATTCTGTTACTTCACCCTCAACACTGCGCACATGTACAGACTGTGCTTCAGCTGAGGGGCAGGAGAGGAGTGGGCCTAGAGCAGTTTAGCCAGTTCTGATGCTACCTTTCCATCTAGCACCCTCCAGGCCCACAGCCCTCCATTTACTGCTCTGTGCTGCCTGCTCACCCCGCTTTCTCTCCCACAGACCTGGGCTCCAGCAGCGTAAGCGCAGGACTGCACTCCCTCGACACCTCTGGCAAGCTGGAAGAAGAGTTTGACATGTTTGCCCTGACCCGTGGCAGCTCACTGGCTGAGCAGCGCAGAGAGTGAGTGTAGCAGCCCACCCTGGCCTGTCCTACCTTCTGGCAAAGGGGGAGGGCTCAGGGCAACTGGAGCTGTGACCCCAGTCAGCAGCAGTTCCTGGGAGAGAGTAGGATGTGATAGAAAGGCACTGATGACCTCCATGTTCCCAGTCATTCTTCCTGCTGCTGTCATCTCTTCACAATGTCCTCCTGGGCATGGGAAGGAGGAAGCGGCCTCTACATGCGCATGTCCCTCACCTCTGTGTCCGTGGGCTGTGGTGCCATGTGTGCTGGGGAGGCTTAGAGTGATGAAGGTGTAGAGTAGGACTGACTGAGGTTTGCTGTCTGTCTGAACTCGTGTGTCCTGACTGGGGTGATGTTGAATTTGGGAACTGCTGAGTATGGGTGCAGCCTAATGGCAGAGTATTGAAACAGAGTGCAGGACGTGTGCAGTCAGTTGTGTTTTGCAAGGCAGGGCACTGCTCTGTGCCTTCCCTGTTGGCCAGCGGGACTGACGTTGCTTCCTCCATAGTGTGTTTGAGACCTGCTGGTGTAAAGCTCTGAGAGTTGGGTCTCCATAGTACTGGCTGAAGAGGTCTCTCTTTACTGCAAAGAGTGGATTCCTGAATCCTTGTTCTGGGAGGAACCAGCAAGAGCTGTGCTGACTGGATCCCTCTGGCTTGGGAGGCTGCGGCTGGTCTCAGTCTGTTTTGCCTCTCAGAGTCACCCCCTGCTTTCTATCGGGTACTGAGAGCAGAGCCCACAGGCACACGGCTGTCTCCAGCCCTCAAAGACGCTGCGCCTCATCTCCGTCCCCTGGAGTGCCTCGTTCTGCAGCTGGGCAAGTTCAGGTCTCTTAAGGATGTCTCCTTTCATTCCCCTGCCTCAGCCCGCTTCTGGTAAAAGCAGTGGGGAAATCCAGGGCCTACACACAACCCAGGGGTTTTCCCACCACTTCTACTGTGGGTATGCTGCCTGGGGACAGAGGCAGGCCAGGACAGCAACAGTGGTGCCAACAGCACCCAACCTGAGGCTGAAATCCGAGCCCCTGGTACGTGCTGGAGGCTGGGGGAGATCTGGGCAGGGGTGGAATCGTATCCTCTCGGCCGTGGCACAGTCCTTAACAGGCTGAGGCGTGTGATCTCTACAAGACATCTTCTATTTATTCCTCGCTGCCCGCCATCTGCCTGCACTTGCACTCCTGCCAGGTAGCCCCTGCTCTCATTGGCTCAGCATTTTGCTCACCAGCCTCTGCTCTCTGTGTCTCCCTCCGTCTGAACAGACTCATTGCCCTCCTGCTCTGGGACGGGACGTGCTGGCAGGAGACGCAGGCAGGGCCGCTGGGGTCCGTTCCTGACACGCTCCCTTGCTTCATGTGTGTCTCGGCGAAGCAGTGCTTGAAACACCTCAAGCCTTTCCTGCCCTTCTTCCTCATCAGTGGCATGATAGCAGCATTGTACTTCATCCTTGATGCCATCGTCCACAGCGGCCCCTTCACCGATGAGCACTTTTTCGAGAAGTTTGAGCGCCGGTGGCCCAAGCCCCTGGCCCCCAGTAAGAACAGCTCCACCTGATGGTCTGCTGGATCTGCAAAAAGCATCCTGGGAGCAGCTGGAGAGGAGATTTGCAGAGAATTTCTGGGAGAGGCTTCATTTTCCCAGCACGGACGGACTGTTTTCCCCATTCTGCATAGATCAAATGATGATGTGTGGCAATAGCATGTGTGGTAGCAGCTTAGGGGGGACATGGAAATGGGATGAGGGAGATGATGGGTGAGATGTGTCTGTGTGTGGAAAGAGGTTGCTGTAATGGTGCATCTGGAGACCCTGAAACAACATTAAGCCTTTCTGATTATCTGGTCTGACGTCCTCTGTACATAGACCTGGGAGTCTCTGCCACCATCAGTTCTTGAGTGGTATCGGTTAAAGAGATGTTTTTGAGCTGTTTGTGTCTGTGAGGGTAGGGGAGTAGGCAGGGACTTGTTGCTTGAATCTTTTCCAAAGTAGCTGTAATCTTGTTGGTCTGTGTTTAGTTCTTTCTCTCCTGTAGCCAGCCCCAGAGCAGGTGAGTGTCATGGTTGGTGCACCTGGCCCTGTAAGTCTGTGTTTTAGTCTGTTGGATGGTTGTTTTCATATGATGCCTTGTCATCCTCCTGTCATATGCCAGGGATGTCCCATGGTATCCCACAGTGATGTTGCAGTGGCAGATTAGTCTGTTTTGTGGTGGGCTACACCTTTAGTAGGGGTTTTGCACACCTTTCTGGAAGCTCTCGGGAGCAGAATGATGGGAGATGAAAAGCTGTGCAGTCAGAAGCCCTGAATATATGTTTAGGAGTTCCTGCTCTTCACTCTGAGGCATCTCACCAGCCCGTGTGTTCTCTAACTTCATGCTTTCAGGGTAAAGTACGAAGATCCCCAAGCCTCCAAAGGACTCGCTGGTGCCCTGGATGCCCGGCAACAGAACACAGGAACGGTAAGTGGCCACAGAGTGGATCACCAAGAATGAGAGTATCCTCCTTGCTCACCCAAGCAATAAATATGCCGTCTGATTGGCAAGAATCAAGTGTTTAACATGACTGATTGTAACTCCAGGTCTCCACCAACCTGCATTTCCTACCTGGGCCCTATACCTTGATTGTTAAACCCCAAAGACGGGGTACTATAGAAAGTATGGAGTTGACTCAGTAACAGGATGGCCTCCTTACATCTGCAGGGAAATTTCCACCTGGAAATACATGTTTTTTTCCTCTTCAGCAGGTTATCAAGTCCATTTGCCTTCTCTCTGCAGTCAAAGAAGTAGGCCACCAGTACTAGTGTGTTCTTTCCCCCCGCCTAAACCCACTGCCTCCCCTCTCCCTCAGCCTTCACGGTAGCAGCTCTCAGTGCAGACTCTCTCTTGGGCAGGGGGAGTGTGGTGCCTCTAGTGACGGAGCCCAGCTCACTAAGTGGATGATGCGGCAAGGGATGGTGAGATCGTGGAGCGCAGTGAGCAAGGAGGCGGGGGCTGCTGAACGGGAGTGGCGCTGGCACAGCACATGAGGATGCACAGCAGACATCAGCAGAGGCTGCTGACTGAAAAGCAGCGACCCTGGACTGGGCCTGTAGTGGAGACCAGGGTTGGGAAGGAAGCCGGCAGAGTGTCAGTCCTCCCTCGAGTAAACATGCCTGTAGAAAAAAATCCTGGGAGCTCTGAGGCCAAGAAAGCATGTGCCACTGAGCTAGAGGATAACCTGTTCTGGGGTGGGGGTCTGGAGCATAGCTGGTGGTGTCGCTGCTGCTGCTGCCGTTCATTCACGCCGCAGCCTAATTTCTGCAATTACATCGCCTCAGGCACACTGAGGCTTTGACACACTCCCAGGTTTGAAGCTTATTGGCCTGTCTTCCTGAAGTGGCACTGCCCAGACTGATGTCTGCTCTAGGCAGTTTCCCCACGTGCTGTCCAGCTGGCTTGAATGCACTTCTACCCCAAAGACTTCCTCTCTGGGTAGACAAAGCCAGTTCGCTTCAAATCTGCAATTACATCGCCTCAGGCACACTGAGGCTTTGACACACTCCCAGGTTTGAAGCTTATTGGCCTGTCTTCCTGAAGTGGCACTGCCCAGACTGATGTCTGCTCTAGGCAGTTTCCCCACGTGCTGTCCAGCTGGCTTGAATGCACTTCTACCCCAAAGACTTCCTCTCTGGGTAGACAAAGCCAGTTCGCTTCAAAATTTCCCTAATCTCACACATGCTCTTCCATCTCCATTCATCCATCTGCCATCCGTGGTAACTATCTGCACTTGCTCCCTGGTGTGAGGGAATCTGCCTGTCTTTGGTAAGAAGGTGTTGCTCTTGGTCTTGCTGTTTTCCTGAGAGCAAGGGAGCTCTACATATTGGGCAAATAAATAAGTGCCCACAGATACTCTCTCATGCTTCTGCTTGTGGAGCTGCTTCTTGCCCAGCTTTTTTCAGGAGCTTGTGACTGGAGAAAAGGATCTGGAGTTTTGAATCCTTCAAGGTTACCTCTGTCCACTAGAAAGGTGTCTCTTTGCTGCTTAAGTTGGCCAGGCACATGGAGACCTCTGATCTAGCCTCATCCCTGCTGAAGTAAAGTTTACTTTAATTGTAGAGGACTTTCTCTTTGAATGGTCTGTTTCTGTAGTTTGGGGTGATGTCAAATCCTGCTGTGCTCCACGGTCCTACCAGGGAATCACTTCTTAGCAGGTGTCTTCCCCCTTAATGTGATGCCAAACCTGGCACATCTGGTATTGTCAGCATCACAGATTTTGACATCAGTGTCACTGGTGTGTAGGAGGGAGGAGATGTAGAGAAAAGCACACCTCTTGTTCTCTAGCTGCCTAACACAAGCAGCCCACTCCCACCTAGTGAGTCCTCCACAAAATGGAAAGCCTGGTCCTGTCCTAGTACCCCAAAGCCACACCCCAAACCCCAGATGCTTTTGCTGGAGCGTGCCCTGGAAACTGTGCGTGTCTGGGTGTGGATGGGGAGGCAGGTGAGCGGTGGCACTGGTAGCTGGGAGAGCTTTGCAGTGGCACTGGCTGGATTTGGAAAGGCCTGAGCTGACTGGATGGTGGAGCGAGAGGGTTAGCTTTTGGGTTGGGCTTTCTTTTTGCGGAGTGGGTTTCCCAGAACATCCTCTCTTTTCTTGGCATCATTGCTCTTTTTCCTTCTGTCCTAGGTGCCGGTTCCCCAAGCCAATTTCATGGAAGACATAGAAAAGTGGCTCTCCACTGACGTGGTAAGTGAGGGGCTGCTTTCTTGGAGCCAGCAGTCCTGCCAGAGGTGTCTGCAGGGCTGGATTTTCGGCGGCGTACGTCAGCGCCAGCACTGCTGAATGAGCCGCACAGGATGCTCGGAGGGAGCAGGGGAGGAAGAGCCAAGGACACAGGGTTTGGGATATCATTCCAGTGTAATTAGCCTTCTGGAAGGCATATCCTGTCTCTCTCCATGCGGATGGAGAATCAGACCTGTGGAGATGCCTCTGTCCACCTTGCTTCTAACCATGCCCTTCTCCTTGCCTAGGGAGAGCCGGAGGATGCAAAAGGTGTCACCAGTGAAGGTAAGACTCGCCAGCCAACCCCTTTCTCCAGCTGTTCCTGGCAGCACCTTGGCTCTTCCACACACGTTCCTTTGCTAACGCCCCACTCTTCTCTTGCCCCAGAGTTTGACAAGTTTCTGGAAGAGCGAGCAAAAGTTGCGGACCGGCTACCCACTTTGTCCAGCTCCTCAGCAGGGTCCTCCGTCTCCCCGCCCGCTGCCAGCCATCATCGGAAGCAAGCAAAGGAAGAGGATGCCATGTTTGCCTTGTGAACGCTACGGACTGCCGTGCTGTGGAGCAAGAGGCTGTGTGTGCTGTTTCGCTTGCCCTCCGACCTGGGGCCAGCAGGGGAAGGACTCTGTCCCCTTCCTCTACTCTCTTCCTGTTTTCCCTTTGAGTTGTTTTTAAGCTGCTTTCAGATAATCTTTGTTGTGTTTAGGGATGTCACACAACAGACTTGTGAAGGGGGTTTCGAGGCTGCTAGAGAATGTGGGAGTTGGGTGGGCTTTTCTTTTTCCTGGTACAGCGTGGGCAAAGTGGAAGAAGCTCCCCATCCTCCTCTCCAGTGAGATAGTTAGAGATCTTGCCCAAGAAACAGAAGAGGCTGCAGTCTGCTGCTGAAATCATTCCTGCCTGCCTCTTTCCTCACCCCATCCCTAGTATGGATCTCCAGCCCTCTGACTCCCAGTGTTAAACTGGAAAGCACGGGGATGCGAAGCAGTAGGGGTGGCAGAGGAGGAACACTAATGGTAGCGGAGCACTGTTGCTCTAGGCTCTCTTGCACAAGTGCTTGTGGTATGCAACACCTTCCCACTCACAACCCCTTCTCTTCCTTTCCTCCCCCTCCCCATCAGTTTATCCAGAATCCTACCCGCAGCCCCAGCCTTTCCGTTGCATGACAGCCAGCTACCGCATCCCGTGATGGCACACGGCGCTTGAGCTGCGAGCGGTACCGCAGCCTGAAGGGGCTGTCTGCCACAGGGTAGGATGTGCCTTCAGCAAACTCTGCAGTTAATTTAATTACCCCGTTATTATACTTTTCTCCCCCTTTCCCCCGTGTGACCCCACCTCCCTCTCGCTTCCATTGCCTTCCACCGCATAGTGCCGCGGTGCGGGGGGTCTCTAAGCCTCTGATCAGGCCGGCACTACGGGCTCCCTCGGGGTAGCTGTGTGTGCTGGGCCCCAAGAGCTGCGCTGCCGTTACGCCAGCAAGAACACGCTGCTCAGCTGGTGAGCACCCAAGTGCAGCGAGACATCAGTCATCTCATGCTGGCAGAGCAGCCCCAGCAGCCAGGAGCTGCACGCAGGGAGAGAAACCCTTCCGAGCCCACCGCATGCGCTGCCCGACGGGAAAAGGTGGCCAGGGAGGAGGGCACCGAGCTGGGGGCGCCTGCTCGTGGGATTTCTTGTGGAGTGTGGGAGAGCTGCCTTTTTTATTGCACATTAAAGGAGCAGAGCCTTGAACCTCCCTCAGCCGTGCGTGTGCTGTCGGTGCTGCCATGGGGAGAAGAGGGGTGCAGCCCCTCTCCGTGGAGGCCGTGGGGCACTGTGGTGCTGAGGTGGGGCACGGCATGGGGCTGAGGGTGCTGCTGGCTATGACAGTTGCTGGCTGCTGCTTTGCACAGTCTCCTGGGGAGGTGGCTACAGCCCATCTCCAAATACCAAGGGGGCGAGCTGCCTCCTCTCCCTTCCCTCTCTGCCGTGTGACCAGCTTCGAGTACCCACCGCGCACCCCATAAATCACCGAAGGACGAGAAGAACTACAGCTGCTACCGAAGGGCTCTGCGGTATCCACAGAGCATCCTCGGTTGTCCCTGGGCTGTCCCCGGGTGTCCAGTTGAGTGGGAACTGGGGGAAGGATTCTCAAAAGGAGATTGAAGAGGTTAACAGTGTCATCCGATCCCCAAACCTCTGGGAAGGAGTTAAATTATCTAAAGCTGTCCAAACCTCAGCACCTCCCTCTCCCTGCGCTGCAGCCTCCGCTGTGCCAAGCTCCGGCTAGAGGGTCGGAGCTGTGAGCGATGCTGGCCTGCAGCTGGTGGCAGCAGGGCTGGGAACAGCAGGCTGCAGGGATTCCTCCTCTGGAAGCAGTTGTGGGATGGGGGGAGGCTTTGTATCTCCAGCTTTCCAAGTTGGACAGCACATACTATCCTTGAACAGTTCACCCCTTGGAAAAATGAATCGCCGGCAGGTCCCTCTGGCGAGATGGGACTCGGAGCTGAGACGTGAGGGCCTGAGAGCCCCTGCAAGCTTCCCCTCCTCAGCCAAAAACAGGGAACAAGAGGGAAAGGCAAAAGGGCCAGGTGCCGAGCTTCCCCTCCTGGAGCGCCTGCAGGAGAGGAAGCAGGAGCGGCAGCACGGTGGAGCCCAGGATGGCTCCTTTGGCAGTGGTGGGGCTGGATGGGCCTCCGGAGCAAGGGAGGCCATGCCAAAATCCTCCTGCCAGTGCCTGGCTGTGCCGGAGAGGGAGGCCTTCTGGTGCCCAGTAGGATTTGTGAAGGACACCGGCCTGTTGACATTTCGATGGCTGGATCGTGCCTCAGTGAGTGCTTCCAGCTCCCGGTGCCTCCAGCTCCCCGGTGCATTGCCTGCGGCTTCCCCGACAGAGAAGCAAAGGCATCCCCGAACGCGTACCCCCGGCACGGGGAACTCAAGCTCCTCCTGGCTGCCCCTGGGATGCCCACCTCGCCGTACAGACCCCATCTCCACCCTCACCTTGTTTTCTCCCCCACGAGACACCCAGCAGGAGCCGCCGCGCCAGGCCGGGAGGGGACCGTCCCCCCTGGAAGGCTTGAGCGCGGGGGGATTGGTTGGCTCACTGCTATTTTCGGCACGGGGCAAGCAGTTGGGAAGGGGTTTGGTGGCTGCCAAGCAATGGTCAGTTTGAAGCAATGACCCAACAGCTGACAGCTCAGAGTGCTCCTCGTGGCCGCCCGGCCCAGCCTGGCCCCCCTGCTAATAGCTTGAATAAATTTAGCAAGGTTCCTTTTGAGGAGGAACTTGGAAAAAAACCACACCAGGTCAGCGAGGGATTGTTTTAAGGCGAGGTCAGGTGTTTTGCCTTGGCAAAAACTGCTTTACCATCGCAAAAGAATAACATTACAGCACGATAAATAATTCCTTTAAATACCTTTCCCTTTTCTTAAAGTATTTAATTTACATTTAATCTAAATTTAATTTAAATTCCAATTTAAGGTGTTGCAATTCTAGAAGGAAACGAGGCTGCCTGCTGGCTTCTGACCAGCAGATGGCTGTGGTCCCTCGCCCACCCCTGCCTTCGCCCTGCCCGGCTCAGCAGGGCTATGCAACCGCTGGAAACAAAGCAAAACCAAGTTTTTCCTTATTGGCAGCACGAGGCTGCAGTCGTTAGCCTGGCAGGGACTCAGCAGGGTGATCGCACGAGGGCCGGGGAGGAGCGTTGGCGCCGTGTCAAAGCATTCCTTAATAACCGCGCTGGGAATGGGATCCTGACCGGGGCGGGTATTTTGCATGACCTAGACCGGTTGTTTCTGTGCCTGCTGGTTCTCGCTGGGGTAGAGTTAATTTTTTCACAACAGCTAGTGTGACGCTGTGTTCCAGATTTGTGCTGAGAAGAATGTTGACAACACGCTGATGTCTCAGCTGTTGCCAACCGATGTTTATATTAAACTAAGGACGTTTTCTGTTTCTCCTACTGCCCCGTCACAGCCCAGGTGCCAGACCAAACTGACAAAAGGGACTTTCATGCCACCAAACATCATGCTTGGTATATAAGCTGGGGGAGTTGGCTGGGATGGGCAATCACTGCTCAGGGGCTGGCGGGGTGTTAGTCAGTAGGTGGCGAGTGGCTGTATTTTTTTTTCTCTTTCCTTTTTCCATTACATATTGTTATCATTAGTAGTAGTAGTAGTAGTGGTATTTTCATTGCATAGTAGTAGTAGTAGTAATTTTATTTCATTTATTTCATTATTTTATGTCATTTATTTTCAATTATTAAGCTGTTCTTACCTCAACCCACGAGTTTTCTTACCTTCTCCTCCATTTCTTTCTCCCACTCCGCTGGGGGAGGAGGGAGGTGAGTGAGCGGCTGTGTGGTGCTTGGTCACTGACTGGGGCTCAACCACGACACCATGTAAGCTGAAGAAAGGCACACTGTCCTTGGGCTGGGTTGGAGTTGCCCTCTACTCTAAAAATCAAATACATGCTAAAAGTTCACCAGAGTTTCCGTGATGTTGGGGTTGTGTGGTTCTTAGCATACCAGCATCGCATCTGTAGAGGCAAAAAAACACACGCTTCTCTTTTACCTACTGCTAACCTCCAAACAGTATAGTAATTGGGGGTTTTAAAGTCCGGTTAACAAAAGCGTCTCCCGATTTAACTTAACAAAATGTCTCTCCACAGCATCATCTCACAAATCCGCACAGAAGTGCTCCTTGCTGGTACACTGGCAAGGCTGTACTCCATCCCACAGTACTTTCATGTTGCTCTGCCAGGTCAAAACTTCCTCAAAGCTTATTTTGGGTAACAAAATTCCCCCTTCCTACAAAGAATGAGAATAAAGCCACTTCCCCTTCCCTTCAGATCGCTGTTAGTGGCGCTGCTTCGGGCTGATGGAGGGGCTGAGAAGGGATGTTCAGCGGGGACCCGTTGGGCAGCAGACGGGGGGTTGTGAGGAAGGAAAACATTTCTGTAAAGAACTCGTTTTCATCCGTGTGGGGACATAAGAAAATGGAAGCACAAGAAGAGAGGAAAGAGACTAAAAAAAGGAAGGAGGATAGGAAAATGCACAAAACCACGAGAGGAAAAGTAGGTGCCCCATTGCCTGGGAGCGAGGAAATGGAGGCGGCTGGTGGTTGCAACACACGGAGTCGTATGGGCAGCCAGTCTGTTTGCTTCTCCCAGAGATCTTTCCCAGCCCCGGAGGACAGAGCTGACCTGGCACCAGGATGATGCCCAGGTGCTTGGCAGCCCTCAGGAGATTTCCCTTTTGTTGACAGCCTGCTCTCCCCTGGATTTTAGGGTTTCCCAAGCACCCTGCAAGGGGCCCAGCAGCTTGTGGGGTGAACAAGCGCCCCCGTTGCTTTGCATCAGTGGCTGTTGAGACCCGAGTGAGAGTGTGGGGCCTCAGGGGCATGGGCTTGCAAGCAAAAGCTTCCTCTTCCCTATCTGCTGTCCTCCTTGCAAAATCTCCTGCGTGTGGGGCGGGGAGGGGCTGCACAGGAACCGACGCAGGTTCGGACTGTGTGAGTGGGCAGATTCACTTCCCCCTCCCGGCAGAGTCACCAGCGGTTGGAGGGATGGAGACGGACGAGGGGAGACAGGATCGCTCCCCATGGGTGGGAGAAGTTCGCACCAGTGACATCTCCATCCGCGTTTCTGCAGGGTTGGACCGTGGTCCTTGCCCCAATCCCCTGGCTGGTGGCACGAGGGTGTTTTGCTCTGCAGCAGCGAGGCTGGGGCTCAGCCCTGGTGAGGAGACTCTCAGGGAGATGGGCTGTGCAGCAGGGCTTTTCTTGGGG